ATGGCTTCATTGACTGTTGACTTCAGGAAACATGGTGGGACATCAGCTAATGGCTTCTCCAAATCATCACAGTGTGTGGAGACTTTCCTTGTACATAGAGCAACATAAAACATATCCCCTCTCAGTCTTTGTCAAGACTCTACAACATTCATTTCCACATGAAAAAGTAAACTGCACTTTCATCCAAAAAGTACTTTGGATCATCATTAAACTAGACCATAGACATCAATGTCCATGGACTCGAACCAGTAGTAAAAACAAACAGGATGCCTGCGCTTAAAGGAGGGAAGAAGAAAGTAAAGGTATATTTTCCTGTTAACCTTTTTAAACACTCAAACTCTCCCATTAACCAGTTTAAAACTATGTTCATACAGCAGTTGCTAATGCTAAATTTCAATTTTGTCTGAAATGCAATCTTGTTGGGGTGGTCTTCATATTACTTATTAATTGCAACCACCAGTTAAAGAATGTGAATGCCAGCGTCTCAGTGTTATTATTAAACCCTGGAGAAAGGAGAACTGACAGTATCATTGCTCCATCATCAACAAAAGAAGGGAAAGCAAAGGCTGTGTCAGAACGTCCAACCTAACCCCTATATAGAGCCATTATATATGAATAAACAAATGTTAAGTGGATGAAAATGTTGTGGACCTGGTAAAGGACTGCTTCTGTTTTCCGGAGGTAGCAGCTTTTCTTAACTTGCAGTTTTTTTTATTCTCCCACCAGCATTTAAACTTTAAATATATTTTATGTTTTTACAAGTTAGCATAATATATGTGTAAAGTTCAGTTTTTGCAGATGATTTCAGTTCTATTTTCTGTCGTGGCAGTATTTCTTGTGTAGAGCAAAGTTCCTTTATATATACAGTATTTGATATATGTTAAGCTTTAATGCATTTGAAACTTACAACTAGCAAAGTAACTTACAATGCATTTTCGATTAATGGTTTATTAAATTCAAATTCTTTCCTTCAATTTTAATATATTCCATCAATTTATAAAGAGTACTTATTTTCAGTGCTGTGATGTTACCGCCAAGTAGCATAGGGTGCTGATGTTCACTATGAAGCAGAGCCTGACTGTTATTCAGAAGAGAAGGAATGAAGGAATGGAGAGAGCCATGCTAAAGCAGAAACATGAACCAACCGATTGTCCAGTTCAGGATTGTTTACTCTGGTTAATGTCAAAAAGGATGAAGAACGTGCTTCATGTGTTTTTAAACATAAGCAATTGTTGAATGCATTGCTTAGATATTGCCCATTAAACCATGCTGCGCGGTAGAGCAGCATCAACTTCTCTGCTTGAAGACGAGGATGTGTTGACAGAAAAGGGGAGGGTATTACTCAAAAAATTTATATAATGATAGAAAAAGCAATTCTAGCAACATTCCAAAGCATTGCAGATTGTGAAGGTTTTTGTAGTCTAATGCACCTTATGGAGTCAAGTATTAACATTCCCCTGACAGTAACCGGAACTACCCGTTTAAAAGTGCAAGCAACAGGAAAAAGTCTCTTCCACCAGTTTGTTTGATTAAACCAAAAACAAATAACTATAAGATGACAGCAGGTCAGAGCAACATGCCAAGTCTTTATATGATAGTTTTACATTGTGCTGCCTACATTTACATCTATTTGATTATTCAGTCAGTATTTAAGTTCAATCAACTTTGGATGAATTCATTGATCGATAATTTGCATTGCTTAAAACCACCATGTCTGCATCCTTTACCAAAACAATGTTACATAAAAAGAAAAATATTGCAATTTCTTCTAGCCTTTACATTGTGCTACCCTAATGTATATTAATGTTATCCTCATATGATTGTTGAAGTATCTGAAAGTTAATTTCTTAATGACAAGCAACCTCCAAGTTTTTAACACCTCATTTTATTGTCCCAACATTCAAAAGTACAAATAATTTAAACACAACAGTTTTATGAAAAAGAAAAAACAAACATTTACAGCAAGATTTTTATTTTGTTTCCAGTTTCAGAAATGACCTAAACTAGCAAGGATAACATGAAGTCATTCATCGCAGTAATTGGATTAATAATAAGAATACTAAGAATAATAGCAATAATAATCATAATAATCATCATTGATAAGTGTTAATAACATAAGCAGGAGAGAGTAGAGAGAGCCGTGGTCACGGGGCCCTGTGAACATTTTTTCATCTTTTTTGTCTTTAAAGATTTTCTTTATAGATTTTTCAGATAGTAAATAAACACGTCTCAGGAGGAAAATGAAAACTGACAAGAGCCTAGTTCCTCTGTTCACCTTCCCTCCTCCACTACTGGCTGCGTTGTTCCTACTGGCAGGTTGCCACTATAAGGCGCTATGGGGGGATGGTGTGAGCCATAGGGGTCGGGCATAGAGCGAGGTGACGCAGCCCCATGTTTCAAACACACACAGACACACTTAACATTCACTCTTTGAAATCTCCATCACATGGTCACTCAGACATGTTCAAGGATGTGCACTGAATGAATACATTTAAAACGTTTTCACTTCACACAGAAATCTACTCCAGTATGCGGACAGACACATTCACTTCGACAAAAAGTAACAAACGTGCACAGATGTGCATCCAAACAAATGTGCACGTCTTGGGTTTTAGGTCGGGAACACATTCACACATCCTAAGAGTTGAAAAAGTCACACAGAGTACGAAATACACACATCAGAACATTCTACTGGGGTCGTTGCATAATTCAGGCTCCTGACGCAAGTGAGGAGCATGAAGGGGTCTGGTTGGTCTGTTGCTGTGTAGACGTGATAGGAAAATGGGTATGATGATATCGAGATGACCTGGCTTTTCCAGATGGGAGAGAAGGATGTAGCTATGCGTGTGAAAGTTTCAAATGCTCCCCAACACACTTCCTTCATGTTTTCAAGCCTCAACAACAAACGGGAAAAAAAATTATTTGTATTTATACTTCTGGAACCTTTCCCTTACCTTTCAAAATATACAATATATATCATATTAGATTATATAAAATATAGACTCAGAACAATCCCCTTTTATTCTTCCAGAGTTTTTCTCAAATATAGCAACAACTGCTGCAAATAGCAGTTTGTGTGCAATTGTAACAACTTTTTAAAAGATTTGTTGGTGTGTCATTTGAAAACATGATGAATATTCTTAAAATAAGTTTTGACTCTTAAATGATTTGTTTAGTCCAGTGCAATGAATGGCCCTCAATCAAAAACTTCAAAAAAATTGAATTCTACCAAAGTCTCTAAGAGCTGTACGTTAAAATGTTTTTTTTTTTTTTCTTATTCTTATTTGTAACAGAAAACTGAAAACTATGCTTTCAGACCCACATTTTTGCATAAGGTTTCATCACAAAGCGGTAGTAAGTGGAGGGAGGGTGTGGACGGAGTGGCTTTTTTAGAACTACACAAACTTATCACAGGTTATATTGAACCAGAACAACTGTTTATAACATTCTAATAAGACTAAACTTTATTGAAAAAGATCTAGAGATTTCATTTTTAACAAGACAAGGAAAAAAGCAATAGCAAATTTAACTATTAACTAGGTTATGCATAGCGAGTAACTGTTTCTAGTAATAAGGGAAGAGCGTCCCCCAACCCTCCAAACATTTTTTTCAGTTTTCTTGACTTTTAGGTTTTTTATATTGTAATTTTGATATATTGGTACAAAGCACAAATGTACTAAAAGTTCTCTCAGTGCAGTGGACTACTGGATGAGCCTCTCCACTAGTCGCTTTGTTCCCTTTTGCTCAGAAACGCCCCCCTCCCTGTACCAGAACCACGCAAATACACAGACAATGAAACAAATAAATACATAAATACACATAGAAATCAAGAAGTTAATAAATATTGAATAAATACAAATAAATAGAAAAAATAAATAGTTTAAAAATAGATAAGTAAATAAACAAATACACTTATATCTTTAAGATTTTGTTCAGTTTCTTTTGCTGCAGTAGTTAACTTAAAAGTTAATCCAATTTTTTTTTCTCCACAAGCAACATGACAACAATTGAACAGTTTCCTCACAATCGTTTTCTAAATAACTCAACCACCACTTTATAATAAACTGTCATATGAAAAAGACAAGCTCAAACGAAAGAACAGTGACAACTCAGATAAGTACAGTAGATATTGTAAAACAAATGTAGACTGTATATATATTTATATATATCATCTATTTGTACACAGCAAATAAAGACACAGTTGTCATAGATCCTTTTTAAGGAAAATATCTAGACTAACAGAACTAGCTAATCATCATTAAATTTTGACAAACGTATCACGCTCAGCAAGTAACCTAAAAGTCAGCAAGCAAAACAAAACAAAGAAAGAAAAAGAAAAGTACAAATTTGTTCAGTGATTCTTACAAGGCCCCAAGTCAGTTTAACTTCCGCATAGAAATGGTCTCACTGGATTTGTGGGCCGACATTAAACAAATATTAAACAAAGAACAGCAGCTAAATTTAATGCCAACATCAAAGTATTTTTCTTTAAACAACACATAGAACAACAAAGTTGGATATTTAAGATATGTGAATAATGTAGTATAGCACCTACGGTTGATCGCTAAAGGAAGTTCTCTTCAAATGTTAAGTTCACAAACGTAGAGCAAAGAAAATGATATAGATAATGTATAATATGCTCTTTAAATGGATAGATGTGTATATATCTATGTACTGATATCTCATATTGACTTGTGACTAAAATCAGGAAAACAAGTGGACAAAAGGGTCTTCTTGCTTTGGGCTCTGGACTATAAGGTTTATTAGGCCTCGGAAAGACCCCTTTCCCTTCCCTTTTGGGTATCGCTGTTGAATTATGCACTAGTACACGTGAAAAAATTACCAAAATCACCTGCCTCCATTTGCATCGTCTTTTTCACAAAATCCTCCTTTCTACAAAATCCCGACCAAACCCGGTTTCACCAAAAAACAACAATCTCTGATCCTATAAAGTACCACGGCAGAACGACAAGACAAGGTGGTGCCCCCTCCCGCCCACCCCGGCCCCCCAGTTAGCCAGTCAAAATATTTGTCTCTTTTTTTCAAATCCAGATTCTTGTAAAAATTCTTCAATAATTATTATTTTAATTATCATTTATAAAAATAGATCTTCTTTCTATTTATTTTTATCTTTTTCTAAACGCATTTTTTTTTCCAAGCAAAGAGATCTTCTCTTTGGCAACAGTGTCTTTTTTTTTTTTTAAATCATTTTAAATTACTTAACATGTCATCAGGAAAGCTAACCCATCCCCTCCCTCACCCCATCTCCCTGAATCCCAGTGAAGAAAGACATTATGTTTTGTTTGCGATACAAAACAAAAACAATGTTAGAAATATTTTTTTTCTACATCTGAGTTACAGGGATTATAGAATCCCATTCATAATCAATACGGGGAAGCTTTTAAATACACGCTACAAATGAATGAATGGTTTCACCAATTTAAAAAAGAGCCCCCTCCCTTTTACTGATCAGGGAGGTATATAATACTAACGACAGTGGATCCGGATTTACAAAAGAAAACTAAATCCTGAATCAGACAGAGAAAAGGCTCTGATCTTAAAAGGACGTTCTCTTCTCTGAAATACGGGGATTTGCTACTGTTTACACAGAAGAGAAAATATATTCAACAATCACAACAAACAAAAAGATTATACAACAAAGAGAAGCCTGCATTATCACAGGAGCTTCGAAAAAACTTATCAACATTTTCATCATTTCATTTTTGTAATACTCAGGCAACATTGGCTTATAGGTCCAAAGTTATAATATAAGCCATTTATAGTTCAATTTGTTAGATGGGCTGTAGGCTGCTTTCTGTTCCGGAGTTAATTCTGCTGTTGGATGGCTGTAGTCGGGTGGTGGTGGTTGAAGGGACCTAAGGGACAAGTGGAGGTGGAGGGGAGGGGTCGGAGGGCAAATTTGGAGCAGAGAAAGGCTCGGGGCATCTCCCTCTAGCTGTCGAGAGTTCAGGACTTGTGTGTCTTGTTAGTCTTGAAGGAGACTTGCAAGACACGGTCGCCCAACCTGTAGCCGTTGAGGCTGGCGATGGCCATGGCCGCCTCATCGTAATTCGTCATGGTGACGAAGCCGAAGCCCTTGCACTTGTTGGTGTTGAAGTCACGAATCACCTTTACGTTGTTTACTGCACCGAACGGGCCGAACAGCTGCCAGAGCACGCTCTCGTCTGAATCCGGGGAAAGGTTGTACACAAAGATACACCAGCCGGTACCCGTGTGCCCGGGGATGTTCATCCCCACCAGGCTGGTCATGCTGTCAATGGTGATGGGAGAAAACCTAAGGGAGGAGGCAGAGTGGTGGGAAAGGACATAAGCAGGTAAGTCTTAACACAACCAGTTATGACATAAAGAGAAATTAACTGCAATTATAGGGATTATCAAGAATGTTTCAGTTAGGTCCAATTTAAACTGATTTAAGCAAAATGAAGCTCTCTTAGGGTCTTCAAACTAGTGTATCTAACTAAACTACAAATGAAAAGTTTATTTCAGTTATTCAATTTTAAAAGTGACATTACATGGATTTTTTGCTCAGTGACACATTTCAATGATTTATTTACCATTTTATTAATCTAAATTTATATGGCAATGGTGCACATATAATAGAAACTTCAAATTCAGTTTCTCACAACATTTGAACAATATATGAGACTCATCAAAATAGATTCTTGGTAAAGAACCTTTTTTCGGCTTGCAAGGATTTACACCATCATGGGAAAGCTAACCTGGCCTCTCCCACACAGTGGGTGAGCAGCAGAAGAGATTTAATACACAAGAAACCTGCTGTTCACAGAGTATTGTATCAAAAAGTATGGACGGAGAGTTCAGTGAAAGGAAAGAAATTGTCAGGAAATGGACAACAATGACCAAATCTTGAGTGTGCTGCCAAGCAAAACCCAGTCAAAGGTTTTTAAGGTATTCGTAACATTTGGACCAGAGCAGGTCAGAACTTCAAAGGACATTATTCAGAAATCTGTTCAGGATACAGGCTACAGATACCACTTATGTTCAGCCTCAGTTGAGAGAAACTAAAATACTTCAAATATATCCCTCAGTTTACGATGAATATGCACAAGATTTTCTTTTTGTACAAAATTAACAAAAATTTACTTTGCAATATAATTAAAAGTCATAGTTTAGACAAAAACAGATCAAATTTTACATTAGGGTAAGTTGTTCTAAAAGACTAATACTAATAGCAGTATAAGAAGCGTAAATACCAAAGTGCATGTAATATCTTAAAAACCTTTAATCTAAAAAATGTCAAAGCAGTTAATTTTAACAGATTATAACTGAACTTTTATTTAGGTAGTAAAACATCCTGTGCAAAAGGGCTGTCTGGATCTGAAATTGATATTGGTCCGATGTCCGCCAAAAAAACAAATATCGTGATTTATTAGCCTCATCTGAAATCTCTGATATAACCATACTTATAGAAATACATTCAAAGTTTAGGTAACCTATTGCTTGATAATAAATGGGTAAATTGCTCTTATACCTATAGTTGTTGACTATTCTTCTTTAGAGTAATATCACTTCATCAAGCCTTTTCCAATATCCAACAATACAAAATAAGTACTGAGAGCAGATATGATTGGTGTTGATTGGGTTAATATAACTTTGAGTACCTGTCAATACTCAAAGTTAAATCAGCAATATCATATCATAAATTCAAACTTGTATAGGGACAACCCTTCAAATTAAGCTTATAGTGGGAAGCATATGCTGAGTATTTTTGGTGCAACTGTCTAATTGAAATTAAGAACATGGTGGTAGACAGCAGCCCCCTATCTGGCCCCTATTTGAATATATATGAGGACACCTGGGGAGTCATTTGCTGGATTAATATTGAAGACTTAACTTGCTTTTAACAAAAAACCTGCTTTAAAAATCGATATCATTGCTCTCAACAGGCAATAAACCTCAGTTTCGCCCTGCAAATGTTGTAAGTGTGAATGATAAACTACATACTATGCCATTATATAAAGAACCTATATGGTAAATTATATTTTGTAGGTTTGTAGTATGAGCACAGAGCTGTCAAAAAACCCCAGATTTCTATGCAGAGCTGCACTTCTGCTGAAGAACATGCAGATGAACTTTCTCTCTTTGTGTCCATAAGTGGCTTCTTTCTGTGCCAAATTGCAGGAAGTTGTTGAATCAAACTATTGCTAGAAATTCATCAAAGATCATGCACCAGCCTGCTAAATTTGTTCTCATTCGCCTCATAATCTTTCCCCTTTTTCTTACGATGCAAGAGATTTGATTCTTCAGTTGACTTCACTTAATTGCTTTTCCGCTAAAAGGAAAAGGAGAAAAGAAATCCTGGCACTTTTAAATAAAAGGTAAATGAAATAAAAAGGTTAATTTCTTATTCCAGCTCCCTACAAGAAACTACTATAGGCATTATTGGAAGTGCTTTAATCGAGATTTCCGCTTTACTGCAGCTGTCTGGGAGTAGGAGCCTTCTCAAGAAAAAAAGAGGCGGGGGAAATGGGGAGCAAACTAAATGGAAAATGGAAGCACTTTACAGCCCAGTGGCATTAAGGTACAAAGTGTATTCCTCCCCCTCCTGCAGGGTGTTCTGGTCTCTTCTATTTCAGAGCTCGTGGCACTGATCGATAGTGCTGCTTGCCACATGGACCCTCAAGCCTTCTCTCTCCTGTGTCTATATATGGTTGGCAATCACTGCGACCTTCCTGCATGACTTTGGTCATGCAGAGTCTGCCTCTGGCGTTTTGGTCAATGGTGAGAAATCTAAAACGTGCATTCAAACGTGTTAGCTCTCTGGTTGAGCCAGATGTAATATTTTACAAATATGTATGTCAGATTAGATCATGTTAATACAAAGTATACAGGGTGTATCTAGATATTTTTAATAATAACATTGTGCCAGATTTTATATTTGTAACCAAAACATTTAGTAAACAAAGTAAAATATACTTTCAGAAAACATAATATAAAAGTTCAAAAGAAAGAAAATATTTTTTAACATCTATGCATAATGAGTCTCATATAGGATTTAATTTATCTATATTATATTCTATATACTGTGCTGTATAGACACTGTATCCAGAATCAAAATAGTTGATTGAGGCTCCTTAGCATGAATTACTTCATCAGCACATCATGGTATGGAGCTGATAAGCTTGTGGTTCTGCTGAGGTGTTACAGAACTCTGGGTTGTTTTTAACAACAGTTTCCACCTCATCTTTTATTTGGTGGTTCTGTTTTTCATATCTTGTTGGTATCCTTAGGTTTTCTATAAGGTTTAAGTCAGGCCAGTTGGTGACAAGTTAGAGTACAGCGATTCTATGGTACTTTTTACTTGTATTCCCCTTTCTAGTTTTTCCTACCAGTCAACTTTCTGTTGATGATTGGTTAAAAAAGTTTGTACATTTAAAATTCCTTTGGCAAAGACTTTCACAACCTGCTGAATATCAGTAAAGAAATCGGTTATCAGTTATTTGTAGTCTGAATCTAGGCTACAGCATAACAATTGTGCTATAAAATATTTTTTCATTGATCAATATTGAGCAATATTTCATTTAGGAAACCATTTTTTCATGTCCTGTAAGCCATATTCAAGTCCAATAAAAAAAAAAAAAAAAACAGTTTCACAACATATCACTGTGTGTAAAAAGAATTGATAAGATTAATTGATAAAGTTCCCAATTACTGAGATAAATCAGCTACTTATTTCAATTTATGCAGATGCACCTTTAGATAAACTGTTTTTATCTCTTAAATTTAGAAAGAGCTCTGCATTACCCTGCCCGAGTTAAAGCATAAACAAAGCTTATTTCAAAGGAAGTTGCTAAACATGTCTGCTGTCAGGATGTGGGAGGGAGTGTTCATGCATGTACATGTGTGAAAACATGTATGCAAGTATATTAGACGAAGCAGGACCAAACACTAACCTGTTACAGATGAGACCAGGGGTTGCATAGCAACAGTATAGCTGACCAGATACCTATTCCATCCCTTCTAAAGCTAAACCATCCACCCCTAATAAGACTATAAATCTATAAATAACGCTTCTTATTTGGACATCATAGAATAAACAAATATAACATTTTCTTAGAGGCTTTCATTCAACTGACTTCTGTCACTAGTGCTTGCAGCATGCAAGATGGCATTGTCAGCACATCAAACATCTATCACCACAGTAGGTGGTGCTCTGAGTTATGTAACACCTTTGGTAGCAGGACAGCAAAATGAAAGATGGGAAAGAAGGAAATTGAGAAGAGCGGTGCCGAGCAAAGCTTGAGCTGTCTGCAGTGAAACAGCATTTCCTGTTTCCAGCAGGGATCCAAGTTCATCCAACCTTATCACATGTCTTATGTTATAACTTTTGCAGAAACTGCAAATATATAAGAGATCAGTGTAGAATTTTGTCAATTCTTACATAGTAAAAAATGTGCATTTTATAATAATGAAGAGGGTGCCTAGAGTGACTATAAAATGAGAAGGCAGGAGAACCTGAATCCCTTCGAAGTAATACAATGAAATAATAAAAGCACACACCTAGAAATGATGAGTCTTAAACCAGAGAACAAAATTCGTTAAATACACATACACAACCCAAAACAATTTAAACAACACCAGCACTTGTCATAATCAAAACAAAGGGAATTCATCACCACTAAAAACAAAGACTGACAGTTTTCTGTTTGTCACACCTCATGTGCTTGGAAGGGAATCAGTTCAAACCGACGGGCAAAAAACAAAACAAAAAAGGAAATCAAACAAAATAGAAAAAAACAACAATGCTTTTGACCTCAACGAAGTTCAAACTAAAAATGACTGCAGAAACCACAAGGAAAACCAAATCAATAAAAGGAAGAAAAAAAGGAAGTTCAAAAATCATCGAGTCAACATGGACATCTGGCATTGGGAGAAGTTTTTAATTACCTCTTTACGCCATAGGCCATATTAAGCAAATTGTCCAGCCTGTAAAGAGAAGGAGGGTTCTGGGGTTAATGGTGGGCAGATGGTCGACTCAATCAATGGAACTAATGTTAAGTCCCTGCAGGAACTCCATGGACCTCCTCACTCAAGAACAAACAAACCCATATATAGTTGGTCCATTACACTGAGAAGCCCCAGCAAGAAATGCAATCATCAGTCTATGAATCTACATTACAATCAGTATGGTCTGCATTTGGTTGCTCACTTGCTGAGCAGGCACTGCATTAGCTAATGCCAAAGCTGTATGCTTCAGGGACATTCAGATTATTCCAGAAACTTCCAGTTACTCACTATACAAGATTACATATGTACACCAATAATTGCTTATCTGTAGTTATTTTACACCATGCAATCTTCATGCAGAGTGTGAGCATGGCAGTGCATCAGACATTACTGGCATGACAGTAAAGCCAGAATGACGCACCATTGCAAATCATTTATTTTCATACCTGCAATAATTTGAAAGTGGCTTTCTGCACATGTTATGCAACCACACTGATGGTTTCTTAGGGATGAAGGTAAATGAATTTTGTTTATCAAGAGTTTTTAATTAGTGCTCACTCAATTAAGAGATTACCTAAGATGGCAAGGAAATGATCCAGAGTTCTGTCAGTGTAATGGTTTGGCATTTGAGTGATGGTGAGTGAGAGAGGCGATGATGATTAATTGGTTTTCTGTGTGGCACAACAAAAAAAAACAACATAACTAGATGTTAAAGTAGCCATGAAATTGTGAGTGTCTGTCTTTGTGATCAGGATCAACCTTATGAATGATAACAGGTGAGGTGGAAAAGCTAAGTGTTAGACAAATGGCGTCCATCTGAAAGCGTTAGCTTTTGGGAGAGGTTTCGGTTTCATAATAGTTTCAGCCTGTCGGGTTCTGGCGTTGCGGTCAGCCAGTGTAAATTACAGTATCGGAGCGCTTGGGGTTCAGGAACCTGTGGGCTGTGTGAAATGTTGGCACTGCTGGATGGATGCAGCCTGCTTGGTGACTCAACGACCTTCATTTTTTACTTGGGTCTGGTCTGCCTCATGTCTTATTAACTTCTCAGGCCTAATGGATAGAGGCCACGGCTTATTGAGCAACAGCTGGGCAGCGACGGCTCATTCCTCTTTAAAATGCTACAAACTCTGACTTTGACTCGACTTTAAAGACTGTTTCTACTTATTTGGTTTAGTCAACAAGGTTAAGGTTATTTTTCTGTCAAAACCTTATTTTGCTTCTAAGATTTAAAACCGACTTCCTGAAACTAGCGCTGATAATTCCTGTTACATTCCTCCAATCTTTTGCACAATTTAAACCCATGTGAGATATTCATTTGTTAAACTGTTTAGAATTCACTATTCTACCTAGAAACATGCATAAATTACAGACTGTTAGTGGGTAAATGATCTTAACTTTGGCTTTAAAGAGAGTTCCACTCATCAAAATTAAGCAGTGTTGTTATATTAAAATATAATATTTATATAAAATATGAATATCATAATGATATAAAATATGTATTAAACTCCATATTATATTGAAAATAAGGAAACAATAGCTTAACCAACATCTTTTTAAGTCAGGGTAGTTTGTTTCGACCTTAGCTGGGTACATCACTGCCTCTAACCATTAGGTCCTATTTTTTCTATCCACCTCTTTTTTGACAGAAATATAGACACAAGCAAGTTTCAAGTTTTTTATTGTGCAAAATTTCTTGTCAGTCACTTTCAAGTGCTGGCAAACTAACTCTTAATTTTCAACTTTACAACTTTACAATAGCAGATGATACAACAAGACTTAGTACCATCTAAATCATTATTATGGCTCTGCAGAAGAAATGGTTTACTTGGAGTCGGAGTCTTTTAATCATTGTCGCCTAAAGAGAGCCAAATATAGATGCGAGGCACCATACAACCTGCAACCATGCTGGATAATGACAACTCCTTTGCCTCTGATTAAAATCCTTAAATTTCAATGAAATTAAAATAGGACCTGAATAAGGCTACCCGATACCAGAAAGATGGCTGGGCTACAAGGTCTAAATAAAAGCTTCAAGAAGATGTGTCAAGAGGTTAGGAGACATAGCTAAGTTAGGTCTTAAATTTTGGTACCAACAAGGAATTTAACCTTTTTTTTGAAGTGCATTAATGATTCTTTATTTGAACACCTATAACTTCTATTAAGTTTATGTTAGTTCACCCCGGGGAAAGGGAAGAGCCACATACAGAAATCAAAGTGTTACACATTCGTTTTAACGCATCTGAACACAAGGTGGACAACACAATAAAATCTTTTTAGATGAAAGATTCCATTAGATTTAGTGATGTGGCAATTTTGATATAAACGAAAAAAACAATGTTATAGTTTACTGTTAAACATAGAGTTTGCTTTATAAGGGGCATCATTTTGCACACTAGTAAACTGCTGTTACATTTAAAACTTCTTTCTTTATCAGGGAAGCCACAGCATATCTTCTCTTTTATCATCAACGATTGTTACATTTATTCTCTGGATTAGAAAACCATCATGATAAAATAACTTTTTGTGTATCGTCTTTAAAAAAATGTCCAAAATATTAAGTCATAACTCAGAGAAACCTCTACATTGGTATGTGTCTCTGAAGTACAATTTGGTATTGAGATCAAAATAAGTAGTATGGAATGTCTCTCATGGGCAGCCAGGGCTGGTGTTTAATCAAGTTATAAAATGGTTCTTAAAATATAAACTATTTGCTTGTTACAACCAAAGAGCCAATGTAACAATGGTTAATATAACTGTTTTCAAGTATATCACTTGACCCTCCCTCATTTTTTATTTTGTGTTTTTGTCTTGAGGATCATGATGCATGTTACTATTCTAAAAATAGATAATATAATATCCTAATAATACTATAAAAATATCAACTGATTAACTGCTGCTATCTCACTTATTGTACTGAGGAGAACCTTGCTTACAATTGATGTTAAAAAATGTCCTTTTAGACTACCTTTTTAAATATCATTAGCTGTTTACTGCCAGTTTGTTCAATGTAACTAACATTTTAGATCAATGCCTATTAAACTTGGAAATAAGGTGGTTAGAGGCATATTATTTAAATCAACATAACCAAAAATTGTTGGTTGTAAAAAAATAAAATTATAAAATAAAATATTTTTTATAACACTTATGAAGACTGTAATACCAGCTCCTGATCTGCTTTGTTGACCATTCCATTAAAAAGTAAGAGTGATAGAGATTAAGCACAGCCTCAAAAATAGGGAATTCCTAATCCAATATAGATATTGGATATCAGTCCAATATCCTGCAAAAAAATTAAATCAGATTATATCAGCTGGCATCTAGAATCTCTATTAGCATACTGATAAATACGCTCAGCTTCAAAGGTTTATACAACCCATTGTTTAATAATCAAGTGGTCAGTTGTTCTCATACCTGATGAAGAATATTGTTCTCTGATAAATATCCATTGATAAAACCTTTTTGTAACTAAAAGATAAATAATAACAGTATATATAATTTGTGCTTATATCCTACTAAGTCAATATCGGTATTGGTGCAATATCTGTATCTTTTTGGAAATCAAAAAGTTATGCTGTGACACACCTAAATAGAAAGCAAGGTGGGTTTGTAAAATCAAATAATATCTCAGTTAATGTTAACTGTTATTACCCTGAAGGAGAGAAAATAACTAACAATGCAATGAGTAATCAAGCTTCTTTATATAATCCCCTACATCCTGCAGTGGGGCAATGACTCAAAGTGTGGGAGCTGCTAATCAATGGTTTAACTTGAAACAGCTCCTCTCCACCATCTCTGAAAAAGCAGAAACACGTCCTGCTTTAGTTATGGATTAAATGCCCCTAAAGGGTCTTACTATAGTTTTTAAGTGACATATTACTGCAATTTATTGCCCATACTGTTGGCTCACCCTTCAAAATCTGTCACTGTACAGGCTCCAGTCCCCAGCTCCTAGGCATTCAGACTGCATTACAAAATTTGGGTCACTCTTAGCATCACACTGGATGTTATTTACATTAGTTTAAGTGAGAAGAGCAACAACTACGTAAACAAAGTGGTAGGTACTGTAAAATAACATTGGTAGATATAGAAATGCTTCATCTACAGAAGTAGCCATCATTATGGCAACAGTAATGCACCACAAACTTCATGTGGACTTTAGATTAACCCAAGAACCTAAATCCTTGGATAGGGTTGACATGGACGAAAGGGCTGTATCCAAATCTTTCAACATTATATTTATGCAGTGGTGTAAAGAACTCTATCACTGTCTAAAGCAATGAAAACATGAAGTGACAGATCATGCCTTTCTGTTCAGGATCCAAACAGGAATATCTGGATTTGATAGTTATTAGCAGCACAACACTTACCTAACTGCAAAGTTTCAAGTGTAAATATTGGTTTCTAATTGATGATTTTGTGGGTTGCTTCATTGGGAGTTCCTGTGAGGAAATTTTTTTTCAAAACAAAACATTCTGAACAATTCAATACTCTCAATTCTATGAATCCCAATTTGAGTTTCCTGTTCAAACATGACGTCACATTAATGCGCCAATCAAGATTCATTGACATATGGAATAGGCAATATTAGGTAGAATGAGGTTAATTGGTTTGCGCAGACTCCAAATGTTTTTCCCACAATAACAGAACTGCTCTAAGCAAAGCATGGTTTCAGATTGACTGCTTGGACCTCTTCACAGCTTGAATAACTTTGAAACCTCTCCAAACAAACCTGACAAACGTATGAGAAGAATCAAGCTGCACCATCAGTCATCAGGCTTTCAAGCTTTTGAAGTTCATGGATGACACCACTCTCATCGAACTTATCTCTGATGGTGACGAGTCTGCCTACAGGTGGGAGGTTGACCATCTAGCAACCTGGTGCAGGGAGAACAACCTGGAGTTTAACACTCTAAAAACAGTGGAGATGGTTGTGGACCACAGGAAGAACTCTGCCACAGCTATGCCCACTACCCTCTGTG